AAAAAAAAAGGACTCAAATATAAAGTATACCTGCATGTCTCTCAATGAGCTCTTTCATAGGAATAGACATCTCCTCCTCTACAGTGCACGGGTGGTTAACGTGGCCAGAAATGTTGAAGAGCTTTGTGCCGGAATTCCTCTCTCTGCCGAAGCTCGCAAACCAGGTGCCTCCACGCCGACAGATGCTGGGCGCCACAGACACCGTTTCCACATTGGCAACAGTTGTTGGGCAACCAAACACACCTTTAATATATCACAAGATGGGAACGTGTGAGACTATTGTTTTGATTTTAAAAAAAAATACACACAATTTAAAATAAAAAGCCATGACTGTGGAGCTCACCAATATCTGCAGGGAAGGGAGGCTTCAGGCGGGGCTTCCCCTGCTTCCCCTCCAGAGACTCAATAAGAGCGGTTTCTTCTCCACAGATGTACGCTCCAGCGCCGCGCATAACGAACACGTCAAAATCGTAACCAGAACCGCAYGCATTCTTACCGATCAGCCCAGCAGCATAGGCCTCATTTATGGCCACCTAAGAGAGATAATGTCTTTATTAATGATCCCAGAGCTATGAAGGAACAGCTTCTAATAAATCTGGAGATATTTAATTTTTTTTCTTTGTAATTTAAGGTTTAAACGACAGCTTTCATTCTGCCCACGCTCACCTGCAGGTTAGATGACTCATTATAGAACTCTCCTCTAATGTAGATATAAGCGGCTCGCGCCCCCATGGCCCTTCCAGCGATCAGGCAGCCCTCCACCAGCTTGTGAGGGTCGTGCCGCATGATCTCTCTGTCCTTGCAGGTGCCTGGCTCTCCCTCGTCGGCATTCACCACCAAATACTTTGGACTAAAATAGAAATGCAAAAAACAGGTTGCATAATGCAGCTATGCTATGCAAAATAAATTTTGGAAAATAGTGACTTTTTAAACTTTTGTTTTGTACACAAAGTATGATTAAAACACAAGAATATCCAAAGTAAACATATCCATCTCTTTACTGACCGACCATCGCTGGGCTTGTTCATGAAACTCCACTTCATGCCTGTAGGGAAACCTGCTCCCCCTCTCCCACGCAGACCTGAAATCTTGATTTCATTGAGAATCCAGTCGACTCCTTTCAAAAGAATCTCCTTGGTTTTGTACCAGTCGCCACGTTTCAACGCACCCTGCAGCCTAAAACACCACAGAAGCAAATGAAGACATGTTGCTTTTAACGGATGTTTCTGATCACCTCTTTGCATCTCATCATGTTTATCATGATTTTAGATTTCACAGAGGATGTGAAAGTTACAATTCAGGTTACCTCCAGTCATGACGACCATAAAGGTTTGTGAAAATTCTGTCCTCATCTGCCAGCGGCCCAAATTTGGTTTTCTTAGGAGCACTCTGAATATATAAATACAAAAAAATGACTCCTGTGGCCACCATTTAAACTCTTTGTTGTTCATCATCAACTTGGCAAAAAAAACAAAATCATACCTCTGCTGTGCTGTTGAACCTGGTTATAGTGGTCACACCACCTTGGCAGACAGCAGCTGGCGCGCGAACCACCGCACACACCACTGATCGAGACAAGGACAGCATCCTTGCAGAAATAAACACTAAAAAAAGAGATAATAATAAACGTTAAACAAAAATATTTCAAATTCATTTAGTTCAAGAAAATATTTAAAACAAATCAGAACAGACTGTATACATTTCTCTCAAAATGTACTTTTCCTGTTTTTTCTATGCACATTAAAAGAAAAAGTGAGCAATTTAAACAAAAAATTAAAAAAAATGCAAAGCAAAAAAAATTTGAGTTAAAATTAATTACAAGAATGTGTCACAGTATGAACACAGCAAAATAACAAAGATAATGAATAAAAATATACAAAAATATACTTAGATTCAACTTTTGTCAAAGTTAAGGGGACAAAGATATAAAATGCTGTTAACATTACACATACAGTGTGGTACAGGGTATGTATCAGGTACACAACTGGTACTTGATTCCTAGCCATTAAATGCCGGTACATCCTTACTTGCCAACTAAAGGGCATATCAATTACCTTTCAAGTACACAGAGACTGAGCTGAATTATGCAACTTGATGTCCTGTACTTATAGAGTACATAACAGATACTTAACTTTATGTACTGGTAACTGAATAAGTTTTTACCAATTATGTACCCAACCATTTCCAGGCTGAATTGTGTATTTTTAATGAATTGTGAATACACCATATTTTAACCACAGTCAAGATGTAATGTGCACTGTAATAATGTGTATTGTAATTGCTTTAAAGTACAAAACATGTGTTTTAGTAAGATAAACATAAAATGTGAAATATTAATTAAATACTGTACAAGTCTGGATTTGACTTTCAAAATAAAATTTAAAAAACGACGCAAAAGCCCACCGTCTGTCCAATCAGGAAGATCATTTACATTTAAAAACAAAAAGAAAAGCTAATGAATACTTTATAATATAACAAGCAAGCACAATAAATTAATAAATTTTCAGTGCTGGGTTAGGGTATTTTTGGAGTTTGTTATTGCTTTAGTTGTATAACAATAACACGTAAGAGCTAACTAATTGTTAGCTATGGAGAGGGTAAGCTCTAGCACTTCAAACGTTCATGTTGTAAGAATTTAGAGCGTTACACTTTAAAAAGACTGAATAAGAAACAAGAATAAACGAGGTAATTCTAACACATCGACTGTGTTGATGTCGTGTACCGCCTGACCTCCATTAGCTCCTACTAGCCTAACAGCTAAGTCCGATTAGCTTTGTTTTTAACCTTGTAGAGAAATAAAAGGAGCTGACTCCAGCATGCAAACATCCCAACAACGATGCTTGATTCATGCAAAATGTAGCATTAAAACTTAGAATTACAAACAGTGTGTCGATTTAGACAGAAAACGCAATAGATTCAACTTACCCTGCGTCAACGAGTTTACGAAACACAGCTCCGCAGGAAGCTAACGCTATTAGCCCGGATACAAGTGTCAACATGGTCCAGGGTTGCCAGATATTCTGGCTGGTCGGATAAAACTTTCTGATGGTTTTCGGATATTCGAGGGAATAAAATTAGGTTTTCTTTTGGTGCACGGAAATGTCAAAACTGTTATATATTTAAGCTTTTAAAAATGATTTATCCTACGTCAGATAGACACTAACACTGACACTAACCCTGATACAGTAAATCAATAAATATCACATATCTGGCAACAGTGAATGAGTCGCTTTTGTGGTGTTCATGAATCAGTGCAAAAACAAATCTATATTGTTAAAAGGTGGCAATATTTTGTCCTATTATGTATGTAAAAAGCTTGATATTATTTTAATTATTTATATTCAAAATTGTTATTCTCTAGCTGAGAAATGTGGATGAAAAAACACACTTTATGGCAACTTGATAGGAAAAAATTTTTTATACTAATGCTTCAGGAGCAAAAAATATTAATATTTACAATGTACGATCAGTATGAACATTATTTGTTGGAAAGTCAAAATAAACAGGCAGAAAATAGGCATTTTGGTTCCAACTAAACACTTTTACAGGATGTACAATACTGTTGTGTGTGCAAAYAGCTCAAAAAAGGAGAGAAWAAAACTATATAAATCTTCTAAAATATTGTTAATCTAATCAAAATAATTTTTAKTGACATGACAGGATCCGACTCAAAATAAAGACAAAAAATAAAAATAAATAAAACTCCCTTGTGCAAGTTGGAAAAAACATGTATAATTAAAACTAATTGTCCYTAGTGATCATACATTAAATATGTTTTTATGAGTGACTGAGCTTTAATACCTGCATAACTAAAAATGGAATTTGCGCAAGAAACACAAGCGAAAAGCTTGTCAAAAGTCTGTTCAGTTTGGGAATTACAGTGAATCTATCACAAACAAATGACAAATAGACAAATATAGATTTATTTAGCTGAAGGTGTAAAATCTTATATACTTGAATAATTATTCAAGTTTACATTTAATAAAGTGGAATTCAGTTTTTAAAAAATTCTGTCTCTTTCTGTTGGAGATGTCACTCTGACTCAGTGGTCGGAGGCTGATAACTGGGTCTTCGTGAAACTCGATCGAGCCGTTCCACAGCCACGCTTTCGAACGCCCTCCTCATCAGAGGATGCTCCTCCAAGACCTCGTTGAAATCGTCCACGCTCAGGGAGTAGAGRCGGCAGTAGGTGTCGGCCCTCACGCTGGCCGTCCGTCGTCCCTGAGTTAACAGGCAGATCTCTGGAGCAAGAAGAAATTCAACAAATGTTGCCTCTGAGCAAATTTAAGCGAAGCAGCCGGAAAATTTTCACTTTGGAATAACAGCAAAATTAAAATTCAAAACAGTGTTTTAGTTCTATCTAGTTTGGTTTCTTTTATGCAAAACTGTCCCTCATCACAGCTCCTGGTATCATTCAGGTTGCCAAGTAGTGCCARTGGAACTGATAGAAGAAAGTATCAAACCTCCAAAATACGCTCCATCGCTGAGTTTAATCTCCTTACTGCCACGTGGGATGACTGTGACAGTGCCGTGTTGGATGAAGTACATTTTCCGACCCAGCGTTCCTTCTCGAATGATGAAGTCTCCCGGCTGGAAGACTTCAAAACGAAGCTTGGTCAGGATCACGGTCACAAAATGAGGGTCGGTGTTGGCGAAGAGCGGCATGTTGGCCACGAGTCCTCGACAGTTATAGCTGACAATCTCCTGAATGGCGGGAATAAAAAAGGCAATATTTAAAAGTGGTCAAAGTACCGCTGAAGTGTTTTTGGTTTTAAAGAGTTCACACTGCAGCGTAGACAGGTAGTTATTTTTAGAGAAACAGGATTGAGTGGAAAAAGCTCAAAGATGTGACGTTTAACCCACCTCCTTGAGCGGATCGCTGAGTTCTCCAAGTATGCTGTCCTCATCGAACATCTTGCCTTGGAATCGGTGCTCGTAATAATCGTGAATCCTCTGTCGTACGTCCGCAGGAAGTTTATGGAACGACATGTACTGCTCCACTTGCTTATACTGCAAAGATTTGCACAACGCACATCAGGACCCGACCCTTGTGAGGATACACAAACAAAGTTCTGCAAGACTGATATAAGAGGTTACGATTAGTCACATTTTCTGGCATGTGTTCGCTGAATTATTCCACAGTGATTACACATCCATTCCATTTGATTTATAGGCTGCTTTTCTCTGGTTTTTAAGTGGATTACAAACTCATTTGTGGCAACCAGCAGCCGACAGCGATCCAAAACAAAGGTGCTGCCGTTTGTCATCATCTGCTTAGCTTTATCATGTGAAAATCCCAGAGAAAGGGTTGCAGTGAGGTCACAAAATCCATTAGATAATACGCCATGTTGCACAGTATATGGGAAAAAATGGTTTGAGCAAGGTAATGATGTAAAAGAAGGCCGGGAATCGGGATAGTAAAAGCCAGAAGCACATTTATGTCCATGTGAGGCTTTTGGAACATATTGTCCGCAAAGCTTGAAGGTCAAAACGTTTTACAGGTGAGATGATTACCTTCTCTTGATACTGGCGATGGGATGCGTCCAGGGATTGGACCAGGTTAGTTGCGTGACCCAAGAACATGGCGTAGCAGGTGGCTCCAACAACCATGCTGACCATGGTAAGCCAAACGTCACTCATGCCCTCTGGAGGATGAGCGCCGTATCCTATGCACAACATGTGACTCATGGCCATGAACAGGGCGTAAGAGTACTGGATGTGCCAGGTGGCGTTCTGAGCAGGAAGGATTGAAAAGAGGTGGTGAGTAAAGCTGCACTAATGCAGTCGCATAGAGAAGGAACGAAATGCAAACAAATGGAGCACATTTTGAGCACATTTATGATTGAGGTTTGCAACATTTTGAGCATATTCACAATTTTCAAAAAATTCTCTTTAAATATTAGAAATAACAATAAAATAAAACTGAGACAGTTGTCAGTTGATTCAAATATGCATTTTACTTAAGATATTCTGTCAAATTCGCAAACCCTTCTCTTGTATTTTTTAAAGCACTAAAAACCTCCCTTTGCTCAAGAATAACGTCCAAAACACTGCAGGTTTGTGTTACTACAATAGCCCAGGAAGGACAAACCAAACAGTCTGCAAAGAAGACTTTTTTTCAAAACTCATTTGATCGACGCTCTTATTTCCAGGGCCAACTTAAACCCCCAGTAGGTCTGGGGCTAGGAGGTTTAATGAGCACCATGTTGGCAGTCAATTATCAAGGGACACGCCCTAAAACTAACAAGATACATCCTAACAGGTCATCTTATGTAAGTTCATTATTAGTTACAGCAGCCATGAACAAGAACATGTATCTGTAATGCTCTCTGTTTCAGTCCTCATGGCTCACAGTCCTGCATGTTTTAGTCGTTTCCCTGCTTTGGCACACCTGATTGAAAGGAATGAGTGATTGACCTGCTGAAGAGCAGAGAAACAACTAAAACATGCAGGATAGTGGATGAGTGACAGAAAAAAATTACAAAAGTGAAAAAAGAAAAAAGTTACAAAACTTGTAATTTTATCATCTCACAATGTAACCTCAAAAGAAAAGCCCCCGAACACTGTAGACCCCTGGACTTTAGCCCAGGTCCACCCGTGCATTCAGGCAGCCCTGAGGCCCAGCTTGGTCAGTCCTTCCGTTCAAGTATCTGGGAACTCACACACATGTGGGGCGAACTTAGAACTGACAGTTAAGATTGTTTGCATGTTTTTGGACAGTAGGAGGAAAACGGGGTACATGGAGAAAGCCTCACAAAAGACTCAAACCTCCAATCTTCTTGTTGACGCTCACTGAGCCAGTCTAATTCTAGCTTTAGATTCTTATTTAAATCAGGTCAAAGTCATCCAGAAAAATGGTTGAAACGCCTGAGAATCATCTGGCATTAGCAAGGTTTTAGATGATTGTCATGTCTTCTTTCGGTGGTCAATTAATTCAGGAAATCATAGCAGCACGGTTGATGGGGAGCTAAATTGTGCAAAAACATCAGAGAAACAAGGTATTTTTAGATGTGGTCCTGAAAGGCAGGTACGTTTATTTCTGAAGGATACTAGGGTTGTCGTTCTAAAATTCTGAATTAACCTTTTAAATATAAAGGTTTAGGCTCACCACCATGTTGTTTTTAGAGACCCAGCAGTCTGGAGGAAAGTCCTGCAGCATGGGAACCATGAAGGTGAGACAACCATCCCAGTGGCACAGCAGGAGCATCATTCCAATCAGGTTGACTATACGCACCACAGCACTGGCCAGGTCATAGGTCATGTGGAAAATCTTTAAGAGAGAAAGACAGAGGGATAGGACAATGTAGCCATAATTTAGACAAAATGCTGTCGTCTGTCTCATCCTGTTTACCTCTTCCCACTGGTGAATGTACCGGATGAGACGGGAAAGCCGCAGAAGCCGCAGCAGACTGAGGATCTTAGTGAAACGCACGATCCGGAGGGCACGAGCTGTACGGTACACGTCGGATGACTCGTGCCGGGACTCCATGTCGACAATGAGAAAGATGTAGTCCACAGGGATAGAGGAGATGAAATCCACAAGGAACCAGGTGCGGAGGTAATGGACACGGATCTCTTTGGGGTCCAGAATAATGTGGCTGTCCTCTCCCAAGATACCAGTGCGGAAGTTGAAAAACAAATCCATGAGGAAGATGGTGTCAGACATGACGTTGAAGACGATCCAGGGCAACGTGTTCTGATCTTCAAAGAAGGTGATTCCCCAGGGCAGAATGACCAGGTTGCTCATCATCAACAGGAGCATCACTATGTCCCAGTAAAACCTGGACACAACAGAACAGATGGGTCAGATCTGTGAACTTCTGTCTTGTTGCCACTTTTTATTAGCTAGGACACTTTTTCATGTATGCAAACATTTGACCAGGTGCTGTGTGGTTGCCGGCCTTAATTAAGTTTTTAAAGTTACAGAATCAAAATTAAAGTTGCATGCTTTGAAACAACCAAGAACGAGTGAAGTCATGCCGTTAAGAGGACAGTGTCCCGTTCAGGGAGTGACCCTTAATCTCGTAACTGTTTCTGTCACAAGAGGAACCCCTTCCCATTAAAAATGAACGCAGTCTGCTCCAATTAGATCAATACACTTTCATAATGGCAATGAACAAAGGGAAGTATCAACACCAGTGGAAATGTTTGCGGTTTGGACTTTGTGCTCCACATAGTTTCATTGTTGAGCTTCGTCTCACCCACATTCCACTGGCCTATATGTCTCCAGTGTCTCGTTATGCGTGGCGCTCACGGTTTGGATTTCCTTACAGATTGTTTACATCAAATGTCAGTCCTTTTGTTTGGCTCTCTTCCATTACACTGGCACAGTAACAGAATCTCAACTGGACCGTTTTTTGATTACTTCTTGCCACCCTTCAGTGATTGCAACATGACCCCCCAACAGTGTGGGCATTTCCTCATTTTTCTTCTTTAAGTCAGAGTGGAATTAATCGAGTTTTTCAATTCCCCACACGCCCAACCCTCCCGTCTCCTGCTGGCTATCTGTGTCAAACCCAGCAGTTTACATGACTGCTTGTCATCACATCTCATGTTGCAGCAGATTAGTGGGTCCTTCCTGCTGCTAATAACTGCAGCAAAGACGCGGGAAAGTTTTTACAGCTGTCGACATGGACATGGTGTACATTTTAATGTGAGCTTAGTGTTTCAGAGAAGCCGAGTAATTTCTGCAGAAAAAAGTCCCTTTTAGTGGAACTAATAATAGCAAAACGACAGGCTATAAATAGTTTATTTTGCAGTAACTCAATCAATTAACCTCTTCAGTTTAACGACAACTTTTAAATTTGTTTGTTTTTTTAAAGCAAAAGGTTTGCAACTTTAAAGATGCTTCTATCAGTTTTGGCTGTTCAATATGCTAAATGCTAATTATCGTGTTGAAATATGACTGAAAATATTAATCTGCCCATTTTTTTATTGAATCCTCAGCAGTAAAATGAATATCTGTTCTGAAATCTTTAAATGTAAGCAAAATGTGCTGTTCCAGTTAAAGGGGAAGTTGGGCCATAAGGTTTAAGGAGAGACGGCCCTCTATAATCTCCCTCTCAGCTGTCTGTGTATTATTGCATAATAGAGCAAGATGGGAATTATAGGGATTCTTATGGGCAATAATCCCCAATGCACGGGTTTATCCTCTTTGTCTGGCATATAGGCCTGATGGTTCAAAATTGTTCAAATTTGATGCCGGCTATTGTGTCCGCAGACAGATTGCCGCGGCTTCATTGTAAGATGTAATTTAGATTCAAAAACTGAAATCCTCTGAAAGGAAGGCCAATCTAGACTGAAGGAAACAACTGTATTTCGGCTCAAATTAACCGTTTCAAAATCAAAATCTAGTTCTTCTCTCCTTGTGAAGAGGACCACATGAAAGTTCTCTGGTTAATCCAGTTGATCTGGTCCTAAATACTGTATCACTCATCAAATCCCTTCATCGTCTTACCATGTGCTACGGACCGTGACATCAGCTGACGTCCTTGGAAAACTGGACGTGAGCGTCACAAGCTGTTTGGCTGACTGGGTGTTGATGGGGGAAACGATGCTTTCAAGGGAAGTTTATGGGCATTAATAACTAACGGAGTCTTAAAATTCTTGCATATTTCTTCACTCTTTGCACAAATTGAAATTCCCATGAGCTCTACAGAACTTGTGTGTAAAATGGTGCTTCAGGATTGAGGGTGAAGTTACCTGAAGTCACTGTAGGGGTGGATGATCCACACTCCAAAGCTCTTGACCCTTTCCTGTTCTGCAGCGACCCCCTTGTGGCTTCCAAACATGCGCAGGGAGAACTTGTTGACCCCCGGCTGCAGCATGGAGCCAAACTGCTTCTGGAAGTAGGTGGACTGGTCCTGGAGGAGGTCATCGTAGCCCCCCTCGCCCACGCCRGTGGGGTCCAGGGTGCCATCGGGGTCGGCGACGTAGTCGTCGTTGTGCGTCTTGACCAGGGAGAACAAGGTCCTGGTCACGTCGCTCCTCTTCTCTGTTTTTGGGGAGGGGGTGCCTGGAGGGGTGGCCCTCTGGGAGCCGCACCTCCATCTGGAGAAGTGGAGGCTGCTCCAGCTGCGGTACCTGGGGGTCTCCGGCTTGTGTACTGGGCTTTCCCCGATGACCTTCTGGTCATCTACACTCCTGGTGGGGCTGGTCATTTTAAAACCATCAAAACTGAACAAAGTAGAGTGGATTTACCTGTGTTGATGACTCTGGGTAAAGTTCAAATTGCAGTAAAGTTTGGTAAAAATTCCATTTCTTATTTGATATCTAACTCTAAACTAATAATAAAAATAAAAAAATCTTCCATGACCAAATAAAAACATATCAAATAGCAAATGTATTATTCTAATTTACCACTAAGTGTCCCAAACATAATGCAGTTAAAAAAAGATAAAATGTTCTTTTTAAAGAATATTTATCCCATAAGAGTTCTTATCCAGAATGAGTCCCATTCAGACTGCTAAAACAAAACAAAACAAAACAAAAAACCTGCAGAAGCAGAAACTTCAGGAGCTGATGTGTCCTCCTCCCGTCTGACCAGGAGAGGACGGATGCAAATTGACACAGGGGACTCAGTGGCCTTCAATAATCGGCTTTTTTGTCATAGCTGCGTCCACTCAACACTCCCCACCCACCCCATCCCTCCTCCTTCCTCTGGTGACTGCRCCTCCTCCCCCTCCTGAGGCGCCTACAGGCTGCAGGTCGTGTTGCTGGCTGACAAAACTAGAACAAAATAAGAAATTAGTCACCATTAAAGCTCTGAGTTGTGTTATTTGATATAGAAATGACCAATTTTCCTGATTTTCCTTTTTTAATTTAAATGATTCTGAGTATCTTGGCTCTTTAAACACAASAAAAACTAAAACAAATGTGTTATTTGGTGCTGGTCTTCAAGTTTCTAATTTTGACATCACATAAGGTTCACAATGTTTTTCAGTAAAAAAAAAAAAAAAGAAAGCATGAACATTTAATCAAAAAAAAGTACAGGATGTACAAATGTTACACATGATATGTCCCATTAAGAGGTTTGCACGTGATCGCTTACAGCGTTAATGCAGTAAAATATCACAGATGTTCCTTTTCTTGTCATTAAGATTTCATCATTAATGCTCTCTAACTCTTACTCAGAATTAAGCTGTTTTTATCCAAAATTAAGTCATTTAAAGAGCCGTCAAAGGAATAAATAAACTGTTTATACTTTTTACAGAAACCCACTTCAAATAACATAAAAATTCACTTAAACGTGACTCAGATGAACTACTCATGTAGCTGTAACTGAGATTAACACTTTGCTTTGGCCAGAAATATCTTAACTTTAAGTCAAGCATGACTGTAATAATGCAGCAAATAAAAGAATAAAAGTTATTCATCAAATGTTAAATGTTGTGTTTCTGGAGCTGCAGCTTCATCCACTTCTCTTCAGCTTGTTTGATTTTTTTTCCCACACAACTCCCTGAAAAACATGAATATAATGTCATTCCATCCATTTTTGCGTTGTCGTCTGAAAATGTTTGTTTTCTTGTGACTCACAAAGCTTTCTTGTCGGGCTTCATATAATCACATATTGGCCTGTATCCCACCAGGGTTGCTTTCAAAGTGACAATCTCCTTTTTCCAGGCTTCAGACTCTGCATTTAGTTCATCTTAGTGACAGGGGGTGGGAAAAAAAAGATTTTATACAGGTTTAAACTGTCGTTCTTGTGTTTCAGCACACGGTGGCAGCAGAAACAGAGTTTGTTGTACCTGTTGTCTTCTTTTGTGTTTCCTYTTTAGTTGCCACCTCCTGGGTTTTTGTTTTCTACATATTATTRAAAGAAAACAGGATAGATGTGAGTTAGTTATACTGGGTCAACTTGCATAATTTGCTAAATGCTTGCAGAAAAATGGACAAACTTAAAGATTTAGTATTAAAAACAAGTGCATTTAATAAAATAATGATAAGTTTCAAGTTATTGTGATCATTTTTTAAAATGCCCTTCAGTAAAAGTGTTACTGCGGCAGCTTAATTTTTTTTAATATGACAGAAGATAAATCTGTCACGTGGASGCATCACACTCTGAAAACTTGGAATTGGGGATTTTAGATTACGTGACAATAAATAAATCCCTTTTCCTTGGAAAAGATCTTTAAATCACTGATGTTTTGGTGCACGTGTTAAGGTTTTAGATCCCTTGCAAAATAAAACAAAGTTAAAACATATTTAATKTTTTTTTGCCATGGGAATTGTCTGTAATGACTTTGAACTTATTCTGAATTGTTTAATAGTCCAACCTTCTCTTTTTGGAAAAGTTCAAAAACACAAATCTTTGAAAATAATCCTCTAAACAGAAYGAGACACCTGACACCTAAACTTGTCCTGCTGATGGAGACTGTTTATCCTCACACATCATACATGCACATCCTGTCTGAAACAAGAAAAATAATGTAAAATAAAATTTGGAAGCTAGTATTATAAAACCTTTAAACCGTTTCTCTCATCCACTGTTAAAATAAATCAGTGCGGGGATACACTGGTTTATCGTGCTGTTGTCATGAAAAAGACTGAAACCTTTTATTTTTATGAAGAAAATAAAAGGTTAGCACAGCCCATATATGACTTTGTTAATTTAATAATACAAGGTGTTTTGTTATAATGTTAAAAATGTTGCAAACACAGCTTTAGAAAGTCCTTCAAAAGTTTTTTCCTCCTTTCTGTCTGTTTTGTGAGTGAAACTGAGAAACCCTGCCCATCATTAAAGATGTTCTCAGTTTCTGTGAAGCAGATGTTTTAGTGAAAGTGAGACAAATGTTTTAGCTTTGAATATGAATGCACTTCTGTTAGTTTGAATGTTTTGCATAAAAATTTAATTTTGCATAAAAAAAGACAAAAAAAATAAAAAAAAACAAAATTTTCAAGTTTATTGTTCCTCCCATGCTGGAGGCTAATGTCATTTTCTTTATGCTTGTCCTGTGAAAACTTGTTGGAAACAGGAGATGATGTGTTTTTTTCACTTAACTGAGAATAATAAACCTGTATGAAGTCATCGTTGTGCGGGGATACACTGGTTTAGCTGTTTTAGCTGTTTTTCCTGCTCCCTTCTGCAGTGGTCACCAGTAAACTCACATGAAAGATTTAGCAACACTTCCTGATGCAACCTGGAGTTGAACTCAGAGTTGGACGGACCTCTGAGCTGCTGACTTGGTAAACTGTATCTGGTTTGACTTGATGAGTAAATCCCAAGTTTCAGCAAAACTCAGTAACTCCTGTAGGGTGGGTGTGTTGGAACAGAAACACGCCTAAAATATGCAGGAAAGTGAGTCCTAAGAACCGAGGGTGGGAAGCTCTGTTAGACTTTTTCTAAGAAAACTCCACTTTAAGCTGTGGGAGGAGTGTTTCTGCTCAAAGACCTGGTTTAATGGTTCCAGCTCTGAGATGGTTTTAAAACATATTGTGCATTTTTTGAGTAAATACTGTATCTTTCCACTCAGTTCTCTGCCTCTCCCTTCATCCATCCAAAAGGCCCTCGTGGTGGTCTGTGTGGCTGTTGGCAAAATATCTCACGAACCACATCAAAGATTTTAATGAAACTTTCAGGAAGTGATCAGTGGACGCTTATCTACAACTGATTAACTGCCACAGTTAATCAATAACAGCTTTTACTCGGTCAGTTTTATTGATGTTGTGCACTGATTTATCATCACGGCATCATGGTCCAAACTGTTTTTAATCTTGACTTTTTTCATTTGAAGCTAAAAGATAAATGCAAGTTTTACCACTTGTTCTTGACAGCTGATGCTCTCCTTTCTCTTGTTATCCAGCTGTGCGGTGAGGTCAACCAGCGCAGCCTCCAACTCCTTCATGGATTTTTCMCCCTTGACCAGCAGATCATCCAGCGCCTTCTTAAAGCTAGCCTCGTACTGAAGTCTGTCATAAGCTGCCGTTGACGACTCTTGCAGCTCTTTGCTTTTCTTATTTATCATATCCATCTCCTGGAACTGACCCAGGATAACCATCACCAGACCCAGAGACAACAAGATGGGGAAAACTAACAGGATCCAGGAATTCCTCATGATGCTGTGAAGAAATAATAAAAAACAGAATGATGTAAATCAGCAGCATTCTTGTCACCTGCCGTAAAAAGAAGCATTTATTCGAAAACCCACTGGTGTTTGTAGCCCACTTTGAAGCTCCCTCTCACTAAACCTCTGCTCCAGTGGTGATCTTCTTAATGTCAGCAACACTTCATCCGCTTTTTAAAACAATCTTCCTCCGTTTTTCACGAATTCATTCGGTTTTACTTGCCACAGGAACGAGTTGAGTCCACCTGCGTTGCAGCTTTCTGCGGGGTGAAAAAGGTTTTAGAACGCAGAAGAATGTTTTAGTTTTTTCTGTGGTGCATCAGATCCTAAAGAGGTAATTTAATTTGTTTGGTTCAAAGAGGAACRGAAGCACATTAGCAAACAAACAAAACTTTTATAGGTTCTTCATTTTTATAGACATTGAGCTAAAATTTGGTGCGTTAGTAGCCGAGAGTCACCAGAAATACAGCTTTAAATGTAACGTCTAGCTCAGTTCAGTCAAATCATTCTCATTTCCTGCAGGGTCAAAAGTAATTGCATTTGGCATTTATATCAGATAATTCCTGCCTCTGTCAATATAGTAAAACGCAACTGCATGAATTAACAGCGATTTGTTTGGTATTGTCTTATAAATAGTTCATAATAAGACTTTTGAGAAATGACAAGCAGCTTTTTTTCTGTCTACGTTTCATTTTTTTTTTTGTGCAAAATGAGCATAAAATTTCTGTTTTGCCATGAACAGCTTTTGTTTAGTGTCAGCACTGATCTGCAGGCAGGTGTATGTGAACAGTGTTGGAGCTTGCAGGCAAAGCAAATTACAATGTGATCCAAATTTTCGTCTGTTTATGTGTCCAAATTCTAAGAACTGCTCCAGTGGCTTATTCAAAGCAACCGAAATGCAAATAATTACATAATTGTTTCCAGCAACAAGAGATAGGACATGTAATTTGACATGTTTGAAAGCCAAACAATGTGGTTATGTGTCTAATAACAGCAGGTTTCAAATTGTTCAACAAGAATAATTAAAATATYGTGTTGGAAGTGAATAAAAATGACTTACCTAAAAGTTTCTGATGTCAGAGTTGTTCCTTCTGTTGGAGGATCCTTTTAATTCATGCTTCTCTTTTCTGCTCAGAAAGTTTTCTCCATCCGTTACTGCTTAAACGCCTGCACACACTTCCCCTGAGCGTACCTCTGGTCTGACTGGTGTTTCTGGTCCCACCAGGAGCAGATGAAGAGCTGTGACTGTCTGTTGCCTATTGTCAGACCTGGAAAAGGACACCAGAGCGGATCTACGGTTTCCTGCTTTGCAAATGATTCAACTCATAACTTTTAAAATTTAACAGACGAGGGCTGTTACACATTTTCTTTAATAAATATTCAGTATTTCTTCCATGGAAAAACAGATTTTTTTCCTCTTACTTTTACAAGAAAGGTTATGAAATGATCTTGAGCCTTAAAAATTATCATAAAAGAGCAAATTTATTTTTTTAATTTTGCAGCTACACTAATATTTGACAAAGAC